GGGCAGGCGGTAGCTGTGCAAGTAAATGTTCGAAGTCTAGATTAAATACTGAACCTGAGTTTTTCTAGTGGAAATCCTAAACCCAAGTTTTCTGTCAAATTTCCCTGCAAGGTTAGGACCAGGTCGGACATCGGACCCTCTCTGATGGACCTTTGCAAGTCCGCAGGATCGGCGGCGGCGACCTCTGCAGGCGTGTCATCCAAGCAGACGCTGGTGGATGCTCTGGTGCAAGTTTTATGTCCTCATCGATCCTCAGCGGACACTGCGGCTGATGCGTTCCTGGCGGCCCTTCGGCATAAGCTGGCAGAGCAGCCGGCCGATGCAGCCGAAGAGTTTTGCCGAGCGGAGCTGCAGAAGTTGAAGGCCAGGCAGAGGATGTCGAAGCTGTGCGAGTCGGAGTGCTGTAGATCTGAAGTATAGAGGCTTCCGACAGCACAGGACACGCAGTAGCTGAACTCAGGCCCAGAGGCCACGCATGGCACGCGATAGCTGTGCAAATGGAGCCATGAACACTAGACCAAATCCTAAGCCTGCCATCCTAAACCCAGGTCCCTAAACGTGGAACTCATGCCTGCGCAATACACCCGTAATTCTGAATCTTCTAGCAAGTTTGGTGGTGTTCATAGTTTCTAGCTGTGGACGCGGTTAGGCTATGTAGGGGACGTACGCGCAGGGCGCAGCACAGGGGACGCAGGGCAGGGGTAGCCTAAAAGCCTCAGGGTACACAAGGGATTGCGCGGTCATGGCAGTAAGTTTTTAGGGTGACTCGGTTGTGGCTTGTTTCTGGCAGGTTCGAACCAGCTCCGAGACGGGACCTGCCTTGTCGGCCGTGGCCACGTGCACGGGCGTGCCCGCGAGGACGTCAGGAGGCTTTCGTGCCAAGCTAGCTGTCGTGCAAGATTTGGTCGAGGTTTTATGTCCTCGTCCGTTGAGCACCGACCAGCAAGATTGGATACATCAGTGTCAGCAGCTATGGACCGGGAGAACTGATGGCGTGCCGTCAGATGCCGAGATGCGCGCATGCATGCCGAGCAGGTCTTCTTGCATCGATTTCTTTGTGGTCATGCACCAGGAAGATGCGGCGAAGCTCGCAGCGCGTCATTGGTCGTATGACAGATGGGTGAGAGACGCAGTGGCGTCGGTGGCAGAGGTGTTTGCTGCCGCGGCGCAACTGTTGCTAGTGTGGCCAGCCACAGCTGCCAGGCACGTCAGGGCCGTGCCAGGTGAGATCCTGGCCTGGTCTCGACAAGAGGAAGTGTCATGCCAGACGCGGGTCTGGCGCGCAGCTGTCCTGCGCATATCGATGCAAGAAAGTGGGCAGACGCTAGCGTGGCAGGACATTCTGCACTCGTCAGACGGAACGCACGCAGCCAAACGTTTGGTGGTCTTACTGGAGGCATTGCTGTACGTGGAAGCCGCTCATCATGATGCCGGTGCTACTTGCTGGCACGAGAGAAAGTGCATACAATAGGGGTTTTGTAGTGACTCAATTCAAGTTTTCTATACTACATCAGTAGTACAGAGCTGTTGCACGGGCGCAAGGCTGATGAGAGGCGCAAGTCGGCACTGGAGGCGCTGCTTTTGGTATGACCGGATGGGAACGTAGTCGTGTGTGCTATCGTGATACCATCGTGATAGTTCGTCACCCTGTCAGGCTATATTGGCTGCTTTGGAGCAAAAGCAGCGCAGGCGCAACATGGACGATGCCAGCAAAGCTGGCCTTCGTTGTGTCATGCGTGCATACGGATGGGAGCGGCGCCAGAGCCCGACCGCGATTTGTCGTTGGGACGAATGCTATACAGATGTTTCATTGCAAGACGACTATTCAAGGGCAGCTTGGTCTTTGCTGGAAGACGTTCTATGTCGACCAGACGGAGCCGTTGCTGCTCACCACGAAGAGGAGGCCGTGAAGATGGCTCGGTGTGCTGTGGAAGGCGTGCCGCAAGATGTGCGACAACTTCACAAAGATGTACTGTCGTGGCAGGAACGCACTGGCACTAGGCTGGCAGTTTGGGGTTCAGGGTTTAGGGTTTAGGGTTCAGGGTTTCGTAGGGTTTCGGGTTTAGGGTCGAGGGTTGAGGGTTCAGGGGTTAGCGGGTTTGGGGTTCTTGGTTTAGGGACGCCTAGCTGGGGGGCGAGTGAATTACTTAGCCTAGGTTGCGGGCCGGGTAGCTTGGTCATGACAGGACAGTCCCGACAGAAGATGAGGATCGACGACTCGCCAAGCAAATAGCGCAGTACCTGGAGGTGGATAACCAACGTCGGAAGCGACTGCGGCGCGCTTACCCGGCTGGCTTCACGGCATCTGAGCCCGCGGGTGACTGGCCGGGAAGACTGGAAGATGGCGTGGACGCTCCGGCGTGGCGTTCAGTGGAAGAGCGGCGGCTCATGTTCTCTATTCCCGGGTGGACCGAAGGCGCACGCGTGTTCGGGGAATCATCCTTTTAAGTTTGTTTCTTCTTGACCAAAAATAGACAGCGGCACGGCAGGTGCTCCGATTCGACGACACTATGTTCCGACATTGGAGATGTTGCGTGGCGTGGATACTCTTGCCGAGGAAGCGCTGCGGTACATGGCACGCCTTGACGTACAACTGGTGCGCAAGCTGGAACATGTGGGGCAGATGCTCAACACGACCCCGAGCTATTTCGGCGTGGCAGAAGCCATTGCAGCCAAAATCTTGCGAGAGTTTGAGGATGACGCAGAAGGTGATCTGCGTGCGTATCCTTGCAGGCTTTGTGAGTGCAGCTACGACCAAGAGTCAGAGCTCCGCGATCACATCGCATCTCAGCACGCTTCCTTTCGTGCAAATGACACAGTGCGAGCGTATGTTGAGTATCGCAAGAAAGTCCTGGGCCTGCTACATTACTCCGGTCCCAAGGTAACTCGACTGATTAGGGCTGTGGTCATAGGGGGTCGGGTCTATTCTGGACGCGGTCTAGACACAAATGCTCACCCTTGCACCTGTCAGGCTGTTCCATGGAGTCTACAGCGTGGGCTCATCGCCAAGTTCGACGAGGAGCTGCGCACGCCCGGCAGAGAACGTCTACCTCGAGAATTGCAGGCGTGCGTGGTCTGTGCTCGCTTGTTATGGAAAGACACCTTATCTCGGGTGATACTGTTTCCTGACATGGATGACCCGGAGGAGGTACTGGCGGAGGCGCATGTGGCGCGGGACCAGCAGACGCGACTCTGCGAGGTACTGGGCACCAAACGCTATGCCGAAAGATGGAAGCACATCGTGGGCACCGAGGAGGGTCGAGCAGAGCTCCTTTCGTCCGCTGTGCGGCACCCCTTTTTCCCGGAGGAGTTTCTCTTGCTGCACAAGGCCGCCATGGCCGAGCCTCTCACCAGCGGGCAGCCGGTCTGCGCGAGCTGCAAGTCCGCGTTGTTGCAAAGGCCTCTGATGCTGCCTCGCTTTGCGCTGGCCAACGATCTCTGGATCGGACGCTGCCCGCTGCCGCTGCGAGACCTGCAAGAAGGCACAAAGAGGCTACTTCCGATAATCCGAGCCTGTGTGCAGGTCACTGTGCTTCAGCCGGCTGGTGTGGAGCAGGCGCAGCGGCAACGGGGCTTTATAGGCAACAGCATTTTCGTCCCGCAAGCCACACCTTCGAAGATTCAGAAGGTGTTGCCGCCAAGCCCCGAAGAGATCCAGTCCACCATCTCCTACGTGTTGGTGGACAGCCAGAAGCGGGACCTACGCCGGGCCAGCATGCTATCTGCACCTCGGGCAGAGTATGAAGCCGCCGTGAAGTGCTTGCAGACTACCTCCCTGTTCTATGCGCAGTCGGTCTTGGATCCCAGAGGCGTGGCAGAGAACATTGCGGAGGACGTAAGCTTTGCTGTTCATGTTGTCATGTTTCTTTTGCTGTTCATGTTGTCATGTTTGTTGTTCGTTCTGAGTTGTCATGTGCTGCGGTGTTCATGTCCTGCAAGTATTCGTGCGTGAGGTCGCTGCATTCCTTGTGTGTGTGCGCGCACGGCTAAGTGCCCCAGTGACCGCGTACTTCTTGTCGGTGGAACACAGAGTGTCAAACAGACATTTCGCTAGTGGCCAGGGACCCTGGTAACTACACATTCCTTGTGTGTGTGCGCGCACGGCTAAGTGCCCCAGTGACCGCGTACTTCTTGTCGGTGGAACACAGAGTGTCAAACAGACATTTCGCTAGTGGCCAGGTGCCCTGGTAACTACACATTCCTTGTGTGTGTTGCGCGCGCATGGCTCAGTGCCCCAGTGACCGCGTACTTTTTGTCGGTGGAACACAGAATGTCAAACAGACGTTTCGCCAGTGACCAGGGGCCCTGGTAACTACACATTCCTTGTGTGTGTGCGCGCATGGCTAAGTGCCCCAGTGACCGCGTACTTCTTGTCGGTGGAACACAGAATGTCAAACAGACGTTTCGTTAGTGGCTAGATAGCTTGGTAACCCCGCATTCCTTATGTGTATGCGCCCATGGCTAAGTGCCCCAGTGACCGCGGACTTCTTGTCGGTGGAAAATTGACTGTCAAACAGACGTTTTACCAGGGGCTAGGAACAGTGGTAACCGCGCACTTCTTGCGCGTGCGCTTTTTTTTTGCTCGAGGGAAAGTGAGCGCGTTTTGGTCAGCAGGGTTGAGGCCTCTACCATGTTCTAGCGCACTGAGACGCTCTCTGTCAATGTGCTGCGTGGCTGCGTGTGAGTCAGCGATGTGACGCTGGGATGATATCGGTCAGCAAATTCTGACACGAGACTGGGTGTCACATGTAGGGCAGCGTTTAAGTCATCTCGACCGCGTGGGGCGGCTATGTAGTTGTTACAGGACAATTCATTTGTACTGGGTTTTTCAGAGCTAGGTGTTCGCTCAGGGTCCCTATTGCTTCGGAAGGACACGGCTGCGCCGGTTCTCATGGACTGCGTCATGGAAACCGATGGTCAAAGCGCACTCGCGCAGCAGCTCTTGCAGACAGGTCCCGCTGACGCTCAGGGTCAAGAGGACGTGGAGTCTGACGTCGAGGACGATCCCGCTACGGTTCGGGCTGCGGAAAGCGCTGGCTTGCCGGACTCAGGCGGGGGGGACACACGTAGCACTGCCTGCTCTGTTGCTTTGAATGCTCGCAACGCATACACCAGTGTTCCATGACATAGTGGCAGGACACTTGCTATGTTCTGTCATTGGCATGAACGACGCAGCAGACGAACGAGACAAGTGCATCCGCTTGAGCAAGGAGCTGGAGAGCCTGGCGGAGGACAAATGGCAGCAAGGAGCCATGCGCAACGACGCCGAGATGTTGCACGTGCATCGTGCCAACAACGAGCTGAACGCTGCGGGCTCGTCCACGGATGCTCCTGCTCCTCTCCTGGGACGGGAAGGTGCTTTCGAGCGCGGAGTCCTCAGACGCGTGCAGCGTGTCCAGCAGCACGCCAAGGACATGGCGGGAGAGCGCCGGGTGCAGCAGCAGCAATACGGCGTGAAGCCCGAGAAGCTGGTGGTACCATCCGAGGAGCATCCAAGCTCCATGTTCGATCCTGGAACCTGGGCCATGGCGTACCCTGATCTGTTTCCTTACGGCGATGGTGTTCCCTTCTTGGTTCGGGAGACCAAGATAACTGCGTTGGAGGTGTTCCAGTACCTATTATGCCGGGACGAGCTGAGCTACACTGGGCCCGGTGAAGCCAGCTACGAGCCACCGCAGCGCACCAGATGGACAGCCTCCGCCACTCGGCGGAACATGGCAGAATGAATTATGTTAGTGTCGTTCATGTTATGACAGCTCCGCATGTTAGTAGCTACGGTCGTCACAGATGCGCTCTCTGCAAACGTACGACGCGTGGCTGTATGTAGTTATTTGTTTTTTTCTTTGCATTCGACGTACCATTCTTCTTGTTGCATTCGACGTACCATTCAGGCTTCTTTTCTGCCAGTCTGCTACGACGTCCAGCGTCGCCTGCAACTCTTGCGCAAGAGCAAGGCGCACGTGCAGCGCAAGGGCTTCAGCGAGCACTGCAACGTCATTGCCTCGGTGGAGCCGGAAGCCCTGCTCAAAGCCATTGCGCTGAAGGGGGAGAAGGCGGACATCCGGGCAATCATGCAGAGCCCCGAGGTGGACCCGGCTTTGAAGAGAGCCCTCGGTGATGTCCTCATCACAACGGGCGACATAGTCGGCATGGATGGCCATCGTTCTCAGCTGCGTCACCGCGGGCATGCCGCTGGATGGCACTTCGGCAGCTCCACTCTGTTCGTGACGCCCAATTTGGCAGACACCAGAGCATCCTTGCTGCTCCAGCTCAACAGCAAAGCTTATGCTTTGACTGCTGACTGGGTGGCAGAAATGCCGAACCTGCCCACGCTGCCAGAGATGCGCAGGACGCTTGCATCAGACCCAGTGGCCCAGGCGAAGTTCTTCCACTTGATGCTGGAAAACTTTTTCCTGCACGTCCTGGGCACCGTGGAGCCGCTGCGCGAGGAGAAGCTTCGCTCTCCGGCCACCCTTTTCTTTGAAGACGGCATGGCGGCTTCGCTGTTGGGCGGGTGTTTTGGCGACCTGGCTTCTTACTCTGGCCCGCTGGAGACCCAAGGACCGAGTTTACGTTGGTGTCATCAGTTGTTCGCCATGATACAAGTTCCTTCACTAATTATATCGTGTTGTTCAGTCACTTCACGTGCTTTTGCAGGTCGTGGCTCGCTCCATCCGCACATTTTGCTGTGCCTCATCGGCCACGACCTCACGGACCGGCTCTCTGCCATCTTGGATCGAGGCGCGCAAGGGCACCTCGTGATCGAACTGGAGAGATGGTCTCAGTCTGTCAAAGCTGCTGCCGAGCGCATCCGTTACGACAGTCAGCTGACTCTGGCCGGACAGCTTGGACAGTCATCCGATGCCTTGCCGCTCAGTGAGCGGCAGCGTCAGTCGGCGGGAGCGCACTATGAAGACCTGCCAACCCAGGCTGTGGAGCCGGACGGACATGAAGTCCGTTGGACTGCTGCTGGCTGCTCTGGAGACTTGACGCTGACCGGGAGCTACACCACTCTGCGACCAATCTACCTTCGGCGCTCGAGTGGCTTGTCCAGTGACGCCTGGAAAAAGTCTTTGGTGGAAGACTACCGCCGCCTCGTCATTCAGAACCACTTTCACAGATGCACCAAGTCCTGTCACAAGAACAACCTGAAGAAGAAACGCGTGGGCTGCAGGAGGGGCGTATAAGTGTCGGTGCAACTAATGTTAACTAAGACTTCTTGTTATTTTTGATGAGTTCCACTTGATGTATCACTGCTTGTTGCTTCTGCACGCCTGCGTAGAGGTTCGGATGCATGCACTTGGAGATCATGGCCTCAGACGAGCCGGGCGGCAAGGTCAAGAAGCTGAAGTACAAGGGCTGGCCTCGTGCGCGTGCAGCACACTTCATGGCGAATCTGTCGCCGCAGGACACGGACGTGTCGCGACAAGAAGCAGCCTGCAACGAAGTTCCGCACGTGTTCGTTCCGCAGCGGGACCATCCGTTTGAAGGCATGTCCCATCCGACTCCACAGGTGACCATGCGCTGCAACTGCGACGTCAAGTACCTGGGCCGTGGCATCGCGTCCGAAGACTTCGAGAAGATTTTCTTGTGCTTCGCGGCAGAAGGCGATACGTTAGGCGCGGACTCATGCCATTTTGTTTCTGGGTAGGGGGGCGTCGTACTTTTTTATGTGTCTGTGAAACCTGCGTCTGGTCTTTGGGTTTTCTACAGCCGAGGCGCTCTCTGCCGAGGTTGTTGGGGTTTAGGGTGTAGGCACTGGTGTCCGTTATTTTTTTTTGTTACAGCTGAGGCGCTCTCTGCCGATGTTGTTAAAAAGTCTGCTTTTTTTTACAGCTGAGGCGCTCTCTGCCGATGTTGTTAAAAAGTGTGCCCGCGTGCAGGTGCCTCTGGCGATTTTTTTTACAGCTGAGGCGCTCTCTGCCGATGTTGTTAAAAAGTGTGCCCGCGTGCAGGTGCCTCTGGCGATCGCCAAGCCCAGCGCATTTTGAAGCGCATCGTGGTGGACATGGCCCGGGACATGATGGACGTGCAGTTCTACACTGGCGAATACGCCATGAAGAAGTTCGAAGTGGCCAGGGACATGTTGCCGGAGTTGTATGCTGGGCTCTGCAGGCTGAAGGAGCAACTTCAAGCGGAAGAAGCTCCGGACGCCATTGCATCCCAGCCGGCAAACACTGCCGAAGAGGCCTCTGCCAGTGTCCCTGCGGCGCCGCCCAGGACACTGAGTTTTCATCATATCCTGTTTTTTTTTGGTTTTTTATGTTGTCGTTTCCATGGGCGCTGGCAAAACAGAAACATGAGTCGCCCAGGAGACGACTGGCAGAGGCGCAGCTTCGAGCACACCGCGTGCTCACGCGTCTGGCGACCAGCATGCAGCGCTGTGTGACCAAAGCCAATGGAGAGATGGCCTATCAGCTCTTGTACCAACAAGAAGCCTACATGTCCTACACCGGGTACCAGCTTTTCACCCGGTACATCACATGGGCAGTTCAGCGTTGCCGTGACGCGGACATGGAAGGCGCGCTGACACAACATCCTGACATGGAGGTGATGTCCCTGGATGTCAGCGAGCCTCTGGTGCAAGAGCAGGTGGCTTTGGACGCTGTTGGCGTCGTGCAGGAGGACACGACAGATGCTGCACCCGCACCTGGAAACGTCCGTCCGAGGTTCATCACGGCCAATCAGAAGGATGACTACCTCCACCGTGGACCTGCTGGCCTGCTGGCCAACATGAGTCTCCTGATGTACTCTCGCTTCGTCTTCAGGAGAAAGCGTGAGCATCGGCAAGTCGATCGTTTTCAGTACTTCCCCTTCGACGAGCACTATGTCATGCACCGTGCCGGGTATGTGCAGGCCGGGGAACTATGGTTTTATACATTTCTTGATAAGCAGATTTTGGTTACGTTTCTGTCGCTCGCTTCGCGCGAGGAGCTCCGCGCAGCGGACGACAACGTCGTCGTGCCCGTGCAGTTTTATTTACCTTCCGAGCAGAGCCAGCCAAACAAGCGCGCTGCCAACTTGCTATCCTTATGCGTTGCTTTTCCCAGATGCCCCGGTGAAGACAGCTGCGGTGAGTCGTGGAGGTGCTTTCAATGCCACGATTTGCAGGTGCTGGAGAACAAGAAGCAGATTCATGGCAAATTCACGAGCAGGTGGAGACGCTTCAGGAGTCGTTTGACATTATTGAACAAGCGTGCCCAAGAGAGGCGCTTGGCCAGTCTCAGCACTGCGGCCATCCGTGACGTTGTGGGCATGCGGTCCTGGTTTCCCGACCCCGAGGAGGAGGACTGGTGCGTCAAGGGAGTTACGTGTGCATGCCATTGTGATTGTTAGCATGGTTACAGGTCGATGCATGTCCTGGTGACCGCGTGATTTTGTTACATGGTTTAGGTCTTTTTACGCTAGTGACGTGTATAATGTTTCTTGTGAGGTTTGTTTTCGAAATAGTCCGACCGCAAGGTTGTATAACGATGTATGCCAGTTGCTCCTAAGTGCCCTGGTGACCGTGCGATTTTGTCGTATGGTTTTAACCTTTTTACACTAGTGGCGTCTATATAGTTCCGAGATACTATGACCGCAAGCTCATGGTTTCCCAAGGACCCGAACCACTTCGCGCTTCAACAGCACTTGTGCTTCTTCAGACAGTGGGCTTTTGGACATGTCTTCCGCAGAGTCAGCCATGGTCGGGGCGAAGATGCTTTTGCTGGCGCCGACTTGCCTCGCCTTCACGAGAAGATATCCGATTTTTTGGGTGCATGGCCTGGATTTCACTTCTCGCAAGTGTCTTCACTGGAGCACTTTGCTATGCTGCAGGACACCTGGCTGGAGCGTTTTCTTCTGTACCACGAGGCAAGAGGTGGCAGCTCAGCCCAGCGTCGCGCGGAGCGCTTCAAGTACATGGGCGGCGCCTCTGGAGATGACAGCGAGGAGGAGGCAGGTTCCGGCGCCGATGGCCCGGTGGACATTTTGGGCGATGACGTGCCGGGGGAGGAGGAAGAGGATGCCTATGTCTACGCAGAGCGCATGGAGCAGCCGCAGTACCCCGTGTCCTTGCAGTCACTGGATGAGGTGCTGTTTCGGGAGCAAGACTGGAAGAAGGCGCTCCGTCGTCAAAGGAACCCCACCTCCATCCATGAGTCGCTGCAGAAGCTTCATGGTGTGGTGGAGGCTGTCGGAGGGGTTCCTCGCCGCGCAGGCGCCGCTGTTGCTTCGACTGCGCATGGTTTCGTGGCTGCGGGCGTGGATCCATCCAACACTCGGAGCACACTGGAAGCCCAGCAGATGCTGCTGCAGTCCGTGGCGATGGGCCAGGAAGACGATGGGAGGAGGGAAGAAGACCATGACGGAGATGTCCAAATGGCTTCTACGGAAATGGAGGACACGGACCCTTTCATCGTGCAGCTGAACTCGCAAGACCTTGCTCCGAAGGACTACGCTTGGCGTTTAGTCGTGGAGCACAAGCTGACCTGCCAGCAGATCTATGCCGTGGTGCCGGCGGTGCGTACCATTCAGGAGATGTACGAGTCCCGCACAAACCCTGCCGCACATCTTGCAGACGGACAGGCATCCCGTCCATGCAGGTGTTTGTGGTTAGGGGCGGGGGGCAGTGGAAAGACGTACAGCTACACGAAAGTGCTCCGACCCATGTTTCGAAGATACTTTGGGAAAAGAGCGTATGTGGCTACTGCACCAACTCACGCAGCTGCACGCCTTTTGGGTCTGGAGGCCAGAACCTTGCACAAAGTGGCGAACGTGACGCCGCAAAGCAAGTTGGACCGGCGCAGCATGCGC